CGTAGTAGTTAATTTTTGATACAATATTTTCAGTTCTGTTAAAAACTACTTTTTATATTGAGATTATATTAATGAATCTCCTTATAACTGAAACAATATTAAAACTTTTGCTATTTCAGTGAAATCTTTTGCTGTCTCAGATAAATATTCTTTTTCCACATAAAATTCTAATTATTATAGGAATGATATATAGATTGTCTTTAAAAACAAAAAATAAAATGATTTCGTTACTGGTATGTGTTATGTTTGCAATTCCATGGTTCTCCAAGTTTACTTATATGGAATATCTAACTCACTATTGCGATTTATTTGGCAGAAGAAGGATAACGCTCGCAGTCTTGCTATAAACTATTCAGGTAACTTGGGTCAGCGTGGCAGTGAAAAATCGGGCTCTTCTGGGGGTTGCGGAACGTGTCTGATATAGGTAAGAGGATTTTAATGGAGACAAACGTAGAGACCAGTTACTTCCTTTCTTGTTAAGATAACATATATACATCAAACACATATTGATATATATATATATATAATATTTGCAAAAACAAATTCAATTTTTTTTATATAAAAAAAATTTTCTTTAATTGCAAAAATTAATTATTTAAATAACTTTGTAATTATATATTTTTATTTTTTTAAAATAATTATTTATAATTTTTTAAATTAAAATTTATGCGACAGCTAATATAAAGAGGAGATAAGGGAAGCGCCAGACAGACGGCAATACGACCTACAATAGTTTCTCACGTGTAATCGTATAACAGGAATTAATAAATGTGGAATAATTTAATATGGCGTAAAAAAAAGAAATATTCTTCCAATACTATTATACACTAAGAAGAAATTAAAAAAAAAAAAATTTCACTTTTAAAAAAATAAATATTATAAATCTTGTAAATAGCGGAGATATTTCCTTATTAATAATGTAACACCCACAATAATTCTACTTGGAAATAGGAAAAGGGCAAGCAAACCCAACGCGCGGATTTAAACTAAAGCCTCTAGTTAAAGTCTCTTTTACTAAAGTTTAAATCTTATATGCGCAAATATATGCAAATATAATAAATTTTATTCGTGTATCAAGCTCAATTTTTAAAATAAAAGAAGAAAAATTTCACAATTTCCATTAAAAAATAAAAAACTTTCTATTCTTATTATTTATTAATTATTTATTATTTTATAATATTAACTAATAATAAAACTAATTTTGGCATAAAAACAAAAAGTTAAGAATAATTAGGAAAATTGAAAAATATTTTAAAAACAAGTTTCGGTTAAATTGTATTTTTTTTTTAATAGAAATATATTTTATAGACATATTTCAATTTTTACCACCGGTGTTACTTTTTATGTTTCATTGTGAAAATAGTTTATTCTATTATTCAATTTTATTTTTCTTTGCTAACATTGTATGTCATTCACGTAGCACTTGTTACGTTATTCGGAACTCTGACAGAGTTTCGACACTAAAAACGTGATACGTGTCGTCAAGTGTAACATGTTCTTCAAGAAACAGTTTTCCCCCGTAAACCTTCAACAAAGACATTTGCGACTTTCAAAATGAAACCGCATTCGCACCTGCAATTTATAACCCGCCCCCGTCACACACACACAAAATTGGACGAAAAAAAATAGTTTGTATTTTTAATTTACCAAATTACAAAAATAAAATTTTATAAAGTATTTTTGATTTGACAAATTATATATATGCTAAAGTAACGTTTGGATGGTAACGGTTGCCATTGTAATGGTTGCCATGGAAACCGTTGCTGTGGTAACAGTTGTCATGAAAACGGTTGCTATGGAAACGGTTACTATGGAAGCAGTTTCTATGGAAACGGTTTCTATGGTAACTGTTACCATGGCAACCATACGAGTGTACGACAGACATATTTGATTGACACAACCGAAATTAGTAAAAAAAAAAAGAAATTTTATCCCTTTTTTTCTTCATTTTTCAATGAAAATAGAGCAAAAAAATATAAAAATTTAACCCTTTTATTCTATTTTCATGGAAAATAAATTATAAATTAATAAAATAAATTTCTGTCGATTGTTTTTTTTCCGGCCATTTGTAATTTTGGACAAATTAAAATTCGGCAGCTAAAAATTTTGTTATTATGTAAAAATTAGTAGGGGAATAGTGTGAGGGTTGGACACTTGGCTTTTTTTAAATAAGAACACTAGCGCCACCTGTGTGCGTACGTGACGAATCTTCTAGTAGTGTAACCTAACATTTTGTGGCATTACATTTTTGGAGAATCAAAAGTAGCGTCTGCTGTGACGTCGATGCATTTGTAGAAACGAAAAAAATTTTGTGAGCGATGTGATTAAACATAAAAAATGAATAAAGAAAACAAGAAATCGTCAGGTTAAGTTTATTGCATGTATTGTGGGGTTTATGATTAAAAAAAAATGAAGTAGCGTCTGCTGTGACGTCGGTGCATTTGTAGAAACGAAAAAAGTTTTGTGAGCGATGTGATTAAACATAAAAAATGAATAAAGAAAACAAGAAATCGTCAAGTTAAGGTTTATTCCATGTAATGTGGGGTTTATGATTGAAAAAAAAAATGAAGTGAAAAATCAAATCGCGAAACATGTCTGGTTATGGTTAGCACAATACGAAAATGATGCTTCTAGTTAGGGTTGCACACTTTATACAGTTAGTGTTGGACACCCATATTAATTATAAATTTGACACAATTTATAAATAAATTTTATTTTATTGATATTTCAGTGCAAAATTGTGCCAAAGATATTAGAAAAATAATACTTAAATTGTATAAATTTTGTTCATCATTTCATTCGAGTTATTTGGAACAATAAAGCGTTATTTTTTGTAATTTGAGTTCATTCCTTTTTTAAACCCATGAAGCTTTACAATTTGTAAACAATAAGTAAAGATAAACATGAAAAAATAAGAATAAAAAACATTACAAATGTTATTTTACGTTTTTACCAATAATGCGTTTCGATTTTCAAAAAGTGTCCAACCCTGACTGAAAAGTCCAAGGCTGACTAGATTTTTTTTTTTTAAATGTTTATAACTTTTTTAATTTTGGACCAATCAATTTACGGTCCACAGCAAAAGTGTTCCTCTTTTGTAGATCTTTCCACCCATATACCACAATTGACTAAATTTATCTAAACAAAATATTTTAAAAAAAAAACCAAAACTGTGTCCAACCCTGACACTATTCCCCTATATAAAAAGAAACTCTGTAAAATTTTAATTCGAAAATTAAAAATTCGTCTAAAAAATAATTATAATTATTTCTAATAAAAATACATATACACTTCCAAAATCAAAAAATTTGAATTAATAATTTTTATGAAAATCAAAAATGATAATAATTATTATTATATACTTGCAAATTTCCAAGAAATTTATTTTTGGTGGCTCAAGAATAATAGTGTCATTGGATTTTTTCTTGACTTTACTGCCAATAAACATTGCAATGGCATTGTCAACATGATTATTTGACAATGAAGATGAAAGTGTTTTTAAAGAATTTGTTGGTATCCAATAAATTTTCTCATCGTTGATGATTTTTGATGAGATTTTATTAGTTGTCATTTTTTTATGAAGTATTTTTTTTTTTTTAACAGACACTGAGATAAATTTTTTTTTTTTTTAATGTTTTATCACGAAATTCTAAAGCGAAACTGACATCAGAAATTTTTGAGCTAACTCTCTGTGATCTACTGACATTGATATAGGCTCAATTGATTTCCAACAAATCTAAGTCTACTATTGTATTCAACAGGATGAGTTTGATTAGATAACTTTTAATTTTATTTTTCTGAACCTTTTAAGCTATTCGCACGAATAATTATTTGATCTATATATAAAAGATCCATAGATATCCTATGTAGGTTAAATGAATTTAATTTTATTTGTCATAAATAAAATTTTTATTTACGTCAAATAAATAGATAGGCTCTGAGACAAATATACGTTTATTTAAATCAAATATATTATTATATTTGGTTCAAATAAAATATTTCTCTAGGTGAATAAATATATATTTCGAAAAAAGAATTTGATTTTGTCAACAAAACTTATTTAAACTAAAATTTTAGTTTTAGTTACAATTGTATATAGTTAAGATAACAAAATTCTCTTTATAATTTTAGTTGTTCCAAGCAAAGTACAATTGTGCACGCAAAGAAATGATTTATTTGAACCAAATAAAATATATTTGAGTTAAATAAACGTATATTTGTCTCAGAGCCTACTAACTTATTTAAAAGTTTTATTTGTCAGAAATAAATTTTTTTTGCCTCAAATAAATTTTTTATTTCAATGAAATAAAATATATTTGCAACAAATAAATGAGTTAGTAGGCTCGGAAATAATTATACCATTTCTCTGAGTGTGACAATTAAAATTTTGTTGAGGCAAGAAAAATATTTTTTTGGTAATATACCATAACTAAACGTTTTAGTTAGCAATGCGACTTTATTAAATAAAAGTCATTTGATTTTCTTTTTAATCAAATTACCAAGAACAAAAAATGTTACTTATGTCGAAATGATTTGTATAGGTCATGATAAGCATTCTCCTGTCATGGAAAAAAAAATACGACTTATACGAAATGAGTTTTACTAAGGGAAAAACAATTTCTTCTTAGAAAAATACTTTTTTCTTTATGAAAAAAAAAAAAAAAAACTAAAAGAGATTATACACAAAAAAAATATATTTTTACAATAAAAAAAAATATATTTTTACAATAAAAAAAAAATATAAATTTATATTAAAAAAAAAGTAAGTAGAATTCTTTTTTAAATTTCGCTTTGCAAAAAACGGAAACAGTGAATTTAAATTATAGTGACCCATCAATACAGTATATTGAGGAAATAATGATTTTTATCATTCTTCTTATAAACTAACAGATAACAATATCATTTTCCGCAAAGAACATTATTCAAATGTTTTATGATCAAGATATAATTGCCAGGGAATATGAATACCTCTAGAAATTTTTCACACTTTTTTAACAAACATGATGCAGTTAATAGTTGTTATAATTTTCAGTGTTTTTACATTTAGTTCAGGTAAGTAAAATATTTAGTTAAAATTATAAAAGAAAATCAAATTTTTATTCATCAACGGGGATTTTCTTATTTATTTCTACTTAACGATCTTATTAAATTAATTAATTTAATTAATTAATTTAATTAATTAATAAAATTATTAATTAAATTATTAATACAATTATTAAAAAAATTATTAATTAAATTATTAATTAAAGTATAAATTTAATTATTAATTAAATTATTAATTTAATTAATTGTCTATGGACAATTTTTAAGATCATTGAAAATTTTTTAATTTTTATGATTTATTGAAAAAAAAAAAGTAATTTAATAATTGAAATTTAAAAAAAATAGCTTCACCAATTGCCCGAGTGGTTGGTGGTTCAGATGTGCCGCAAGGAAAATATCCATATCAGGTACATATAGATTATTTTGGAGGATTTCTTGGTGGCGGTAGTATTCTTAACAAACGTTATATTTTAACAGCAGCTCATTGTATTTCTGGGTAAGAAATCCATTAATATTCCTCTCACACAACCCAGAGAAATGATATTTTTGTCTTAGAGTTTAATAAATATTTATTTGATTCAAATAAATATTTATTTAACTCAAATATATATTATATTTGATTTAAATAAAACATTTCTCTGGGTGCAGCATATGAATACAGTTAAATTAAAAAAATAATAAATAATATTATAAATAAATTTTAGACGAAATATTAAGGGCCACGTAATAGTCGCTGGTGTTAATAATTTATCAGAACTTGGTGAAAAATATCTTGTAGAAAAATTTATTGTACATGAAAATTTTGATGCGAAAAAAAAAATTAACGATATTGCACTAATTCGACTAAGAATTGATATTAAATTCACCGATTCAATAAAACCGATTGCGTTGCCTAATGTAGATATTGATTATAATAATGGTCATGCTGTATTGACAGGTTGGGGTCAATTAGCGGTAAGTAAAATTTTCTTCTTTTTTTTTTTGATAAAATAATATTTCGGATTCACCGAATTTTAATATATGTCCAAATTTTTTATTTGTTTTTTATTGAAATTTTGAAAACGCCGAATTTTCATTTGTCCAAAATTACAAATGACCGAAAAAAAACAAATCAACAGAAAGATTTCGGCAAAATTTTCAAAAATTGACCAATCACGATTTTTTTTTTAATTTCTTATTGGTGAATTTTAAAAAATTGCGCCAAAATCTTTCTGTCGATTGTTTATTCAGTCATTTATAATTTTGGATAAATGTAAATTCGCTGTCTTAAAAATTTCAATTAATTAAAAATTCGGACAAATTCGGATAAATATTAAAATTCAGATAAATTAAAATTTATACAAATTAAAATTAGGTGAATTAGAATTTCTGTCGTTTCAAAAATAATATTATTTCTAATAAAATATTTTCAAAAATAAAAATTATAATTAATTTTTATGGAAAATTCATGCGAACTATTTCTTTATAAGTTTGTTCAACTTAAATCTAAAAACAGAATTTTTTTAAAATAATTTATTAAATATTTTTAAATATAACGTAAAAAATTTATCGAATGAATTAAATTGAAAGCATTTTATTAAAAAAAGATGAAATTAATTAAGAATAAAAAACTATATATGTAATTTAATTTGTCTTTAAATAAAATAAAATTGATTGATAATTTAGTTGAACATTTGATGAGAATATTTTATTATTAAAAGTCAGTTATTTAAACATAGAAATCGTATTAAAAATTTACTATTCACTATTGGCAATTATTTGAATCTTATTTTTAGAATAACAAGCCAGTTGCTAATAAATTACAAGAAATCGAATTAAGTGTCATATCGGCTGATAAATGTCAGAGACATTTTAGTCAAGTTATTGAAAAAATACAATTTTGCACTTTAACATATGGAGGAAAGGGAGCTTGTAATGTAAGTTTTTTTTAATTATTAACTACATATTCTCTAAATTTATTTATTTATCTCAATTCCGAATTAGTAAAAATTTTAACTAATTCAAATTCAAATTAGTGACTCAATTTTTGTTGATAAATTACTAAATGAGTAAAATTTAACCAATTTAAATGCAAAAAGTGAATCACTAATTCAAATTAGTTAATATTTCTGACTAATTCAAATATAATAAATAACAAAATAAATAAATAAAAAAAAATATTATAAGAATAGTTAAATTTATTATTTTTCTACTCTATAAATTAATTTTTAAAGGGAGATTCTGGAGGACCACTTGCTTCGAATGGCACTCAAATTGGCATTGTTTCTTATGGAAAACCATGCGCTTTAGGTTATCCCGATGTTTATACAAAAGTCTATGGTTACCTTGATTGGATTCAAAAAAACATGGTGGACATTTAAAAAAAAAAAATTTAATTAATTTTAATTTAATTTGAATTAAATACAAAAATTATTGTTCCAAAAACAATTTATTTAATTCAAATAAAAATTATTTGGTTCAAGTAAATATTTATTTGATAAATTAACTAGAATCTGTCACGTCACCGTAACTTTTAAAATTTATGCAGACTTTAGTATATTTTACTTTAGAAATATGCAACCCGATTTACAGAGAAGTTTGAAAAAAACATTGAAGAGAAGTCATTTTTAAATTTGCCGCTTGAAATTGGATGCGCGCGATGATTTAAGTCATCACGTGATAGCAGAAAAGGCATGTTGGAAACCATTTTGGTTATACGAAATCAAAACATAACCCCAAATAATCATCGTATTTGACATTATTAATAAAAAACAAATAGAAATAAAAAATAAATAGTCATTAAAAGATTATAATAATGATAAAATATAATTAATTATTATTATTATTATAATTAATAATATTATAATAATCTCTCTAAGAGAGAGAGAGAGATAGGGCTAGCTTCTGATATTAGGGTGGAAAAAGCAACACAAGACAATAAAATTTTATAGTCTCTCTTACGTAAATTTGGTATAAAAGGACTACATTTTTACGGAGAGACCAGTTCAGAAATTGCCACCGAAGCCGCTAGTTCAGTTCATATTTTGGTGTATCAGCACGTCTTCGTCATTTACGAAATCTAGTCAAAGCATTGTTACACAGAAAAAACCTGAATTCAAATTGAGTATAGATTCTATACTCAATTTGATTCGCAACAAAAATGAAACTGGTTGTCTCATTTCGAGTTCTAAGGTAAAAGTATCAAAATGAAACAGGCAAGTTTCATTTTGAGAAAAAGAAAAATGGAAAAATATTGTGAAATAACGAATAATTTTGCACAAAAACATGAAATATAATAATTACAAAGAAGTAAATAACACGCTAGACTTAATATATTTGATTAAAAATTGCTTGTAATCGCGTAATAAAATAATAAAGGAAATATGTTTTTAGGTTAGAAAAATGAAAACATGTGTTTTGACAACAGGAACGGTACTGCCAACTTAAATAATAGCGGTAAATTTAAAAACTTATGAAATTAATTATTATCTACGTAAATAATAATAAATAATTTTTATTTAAAAACTTCTAAATATTCGTACTAGTCAAAATAATCTTTCTGGTGTTGTTGAAATATTAGAAACAATAATTGAAATACAAAATTACTCTGCTTATGATGCCAACTTAGAAATCTCAAATTCCAGCCAATATCATTTTGAATAACATGAAGTTTGTCCCATACTCATTTCGATACCCAAAAGAAAATGAGTTGCAACAAAAATGAGTCCAAGTTTTTTCTGTGTACTCTGCTCGATTTCATACTCAAGTTCGACTTAGAAGAATCTCTGTTTCAATTGTTAAAAGTGACTTCCCATAATACTTAGAAATCATCTTTTCTTCCTTTTCTGAAAGAATTTAACTGTTTGGGTTTCATTACGGTCAACTGAACTCCGGACCTCTGTGGTCATCACCAAAGGCTCGTCAACCTTCCTGTGAGCTCTTAAACTATATATCTGGTACCAGACGTTCCTATCATAATTAGTCCTTTTTTCAAACATCTTACTACTAAATTTAAAAGGTTAAGTGTTTTATATTTTCACCCCCCCCCTCCCAATCTTTTATACACTTCTTGTAAATTTGTAGTAACCTTTTTGCATTCCTTCACGGAAAAACTTTGTTCAAGAATCATTCCTGAATTTGTTCAGGAAAATGAGGACGCGAGAAAAATTCTGCAAAATTTACAGAAAAAATACAAAAATCATTTAAGAAAATACTTGTATTTTTATTATGACATTGGAAGACTTCTTGTTAATGCCGCGATTGGAATATCTCAGTCACTGGGCGTTGAAAGTTTCTTAAACTGTTTTAAAAGACACATTACAGTAACCAAGCACTATTATCCGCGAGAAAATTCAAGGCCCCTGAAAAATGATGGACTTTTACTTTGAATAATCATTTAAAAAAAATTGCTAGGAAAAAACGAAAACAATATTTGGAAAGCTTAGAATCTCACAAGCTTGTATACTTCAGGCCGTTTCTCCAAAAAAAAATTTCTTTCTGACAGACGCAAAAATAGATCAAAATGCACCTTATTTTTTGTTACTTTAGAAATTACCTGACTTTGCATGACACACAGGGATTGGTTGCGTTAAATATGTTTCCAATTCATAATACCATAAGCTGCTAAGGTAGCTGAGAGATGTAAAGCGTAGTTTTTGGACTCTCGAGGACGTGGGATCGAGTCCTCCCAGAGTAAATTTTTTTTCTCGCAAACGTAAAGTTCAAGACTTTCTGTAGTGAGTTTAGGAAGTTGTCTTTGAATTTCTCTACAATTCTTATAGAAATATTGCTTAGAATTTTTCAAAGAAAATATAAATAAGATTTCTTAAATTATTCTCATATCCTCAAGTTCCTGAACAAATTTAGGAATGATTCTTGCACAAAGTTTTTCCGTGTTGTTGCAGTGGAATGCTAACTTCCCCTTATTTCAAGAATGGTTGCTTCAGGATACTCCCTCTCTCTCAATGATCAATTTTATAACTCTAAATGTTTGTCTAAATAAATTTGTAATCTTGTCATTAAAAATCACTATTCTCTTTCTTTCCTGTACCCTTAGCTCAGAGCCTTTTGCTCTGTAAATGAAACAGGAATTCACTGAATCACCGAGCGGCCATAAATAAAATATTATTTCGTTAGTTATTTCTCTATTTGAGACGTAACAAATCAAATAAAAATTTTTTTTCTTCATTGTAATTGCTTAAAATAGTAATTAATTTTTTGTCATTTAAAACACATATTAGAATTAAACTATATGCGAAATTAGAAAACAATCTATTATTTAATTAATGAATTTATAGCTAATGCTTTCCCGCATATTTTGTTTCCTAAATAATTGAAAGTTACAAAAATTGAGGAGAAATTTGTGATTTTCCTTTTCGAAGTGAAAGAGATGTAATTAAATGTGTGACAATCATGCGATTTCACCATCAATGAAATTATAAATATATAGAAAAAATATATTTTTTTTCTACTATAATTATAATAGAAAATTTAAAAAGACTTTAAAATCTACACCCAGAGAAATTTTTTTAGATTTTAACAAAATATAATATATATTTGAGTTAAATAAATGTATATTTATCTCACAGCCTACTAGCCTATTTATTTGGCGTAAATAAATTTTTTTTATTTAAATCAAATAAATATTTATTAAGCTCTGAGACAAATATATACTATTTTTCTGGGTGTAAAATATTTCCTATGAGGAAGCAAACACTAATTAAGTTTGCTAAGTTTTACTAAACAATTAATGTATAAAAAAACACTAATTAAATAAAATTAACGAAAAAAAAAACAAATTTATAAAAATTTTTTTGACTTAAAATAAAAAAAATAAATAAAAATTAAAATAAAAATGTTACATACGATTGAAGATTTTGCGAGTCCCTTGACGAAATTAGCATTGTGAATGTGAGTCCAATGTGTCAAATGGTGGATTCTGAAAAATAAGAAAAAAAAAATATTAATTTTTAATGTCTCGCAGGAATCATATACGTGGTTTGAATTTGACGTTCATTCTACATCTCGCTCTACATACTTTAAGAGTATAAGACGTTCGCTATGAAAAACGAGACAATTCGATTCGAATTGCTTTTATCACGTAGAGTAGTATTTTATTTTTTTTTATATTTTTACATATTAAAATTTTATTTTAAAAAAAATTGTCAAAAAATTAAAAAATTTCAATATAGTAATATGATTTATTTTTTTTCAAAAAAGAATTTTAATATAAGCGAATTTTAATTTAGCAAAATTCTTATTCAATCGAATTTTTAAATAACCGAAATTCCAAATTCGCCGAAATTTAATTTTTTCGAATTTTCATTTGTACGAATTTTTAAGACGCCGAATTTTAATTTGTCCAAAATTACAAATTGCCAAACAAACAATTATATTATCAAGAAAATCGTGATTGGTCAATTTTAAAAATAGAGCCGAAATCGATTGTTTGTTTCGGCCATTTGTAATCACATGAAATTCAATTCAATTTTATTAGTTCCATATGTCAGAAAAGATAAATACTTTGTATATATCGTATATATATATATATATATATAATCAGGGATCTTCAGAAAAGGTGAACAAGCAAGTTCTTTGATCCGGATCCTCAAAATGTTTCATTGCCTTTTATAATGTCTGTGAGAGTTGGGAGAAAGTATTCACATAAATTGTTCAAAGATATCTTTTCCTTCTATATATATAAATAAATTGTGTGACCTTGATCATTTTCATTTAATTCATTTAAAAATTAATAAAAATTTTCTAATTTATTTTTTCAAATTATTTATTATTAATATTTATCTCATTTATGGTCCATATGGACTTCGAGATGAGTTTATAAATAAATAAATATTATTATATTAAAAATTTGTTGATTTTATAAAATTTTAATAAATAAGTTCTTTGAAACAAAATTGAAATGAAAGATGCGATGAAAAAAAGATAAAACGGTATCGCGAAGGAAATATTATTTATTTACGCTGTTAATATTAATTAACCTGATTTTAAAATAAAATAAAATTTAATTAAAACTGTAGGTTTGCATTTTTAGAAGAATTTTATGAAAACTTTATTCGATTTAAAAAAAGTATAAATTGATAAGTGGAGGTCAATAATTATCAGTTTTACGGATAATGAAAAGGATTAAAGCGATTCAAAATATAATTCTAAACTTCGTTATTACAATATGTAAAAGTTTCTGAAAATTAATTATCAATATTGACATAGATTTTCTTCACCATGATTAATATTATAAATTCAATTTCAGCGTAATAATTAATTTATAATTTTTAAAATAATTAATTTGTGAGTGTAAATATTTTTAAAATATGATAACAAAAATATTTTTTAAATTACAAAAAAATTATTTAATTTTTACTAACCTTAAGATTTAGAAACAAAAAATGGTAGAGAAGTTAATAGCACTTATTATATGAAACGTACTGAACAAACTGAATGAAAATTATAACGCGACACTTGTAAACATTTATGATGAAAATCAGATAAGAAAAGAAACTAATTACTAAATAGAAATTTAAACATAATTTTTATTTTTCTTGGAGTTTTGAAGATTAACTTATCTTTTTACAATTTTCCAACTAGGTGAAAAAAAACAAATATATATTTTTTTATTTTCAAAAAATTTTTTTTTGCCTTAAAAAAATAATTGTCAGAATTTTTTGAAAATAAAAACAGACGAGTATAAAAATTATTAAAAATTAATATTTTTTGGCAATATTATAAAGAATATGAAAGTACATCATTACTGTCATTTCAGAGTATCATCATTTTAAGAAAATAATACATATAATATAGAAAAAGAGAAGAAACTCCTAAAATTTTATAACCGGTGTACTTAAAAAAAAGAAGATTTTTAAATTTACTCAGCTTTGTGCAGCTTTAATGATGAAAAGAAAGACGAAATTTTCGAAATAAGGAACGTTACAATGGGTGAACAGGGAGAACAAATTGTGGAAAATTGCCTTGCATAATTTACTAACATCGTCTGCGTAAATACTTACTTTTGATATAAATATAAAGAGGATGAGTTTTTTTTTTTTTTTTTTTTAATAATTATTATATGTTTCTCAAGTAAAAAATATAATTACATTCATTTAAATTTTATATAATCCATTAAAAGGGTAAAGGAAAAAATTAATTATTTTTGTTTACATCAATTTAACACATGGACAAGCGCACAAAATTGAGTGTTGCGTTGTTTATTATCAAAAAATTTAAAGAAACCAATTCCGAAATTTGAAAATACAATTACACAACTTTGTCAAAAATAAGAAAAGTAATTTACAAAATTTGACACGTCACAACATTACAATTCAAAAAATACGTAACATCAGTATAGACCTAAAATGCAATAGACTAAGAATAATCAATTTTATTCGATTTTATTGAATAGAATGTTTTCCTGGAAAATGAAAAAATTCCTTACAAATTCAAAAAAAATTAATCTCCATGTTTCTATTTTTTTTGACCTTTTGTATCTTTAAAATACCTTCAAAAAAACCTACCAATTGAACCTAAATTGCAGTAGACTAAGAATAATCAATTTTATTCCATTTTTTTGAATAGAATGTTTTCCTGGAAAATGAAAAAATTCCTTACAAATTCAAAAAAAATTAATCAGCATGTCTCTATTTTTTTTGACCTTCTGTACCTTCAAAATACCTTCAAAAAAACCTACCAATTGAACCTAAATTGCAGTAGACTAAGAATAATCAATTTTATTCCGTTTTTTTAAATAGAATGTTTTCCTGGAAAATAAACAAAAATTCCTTACAAATTCAAAAAAAATTAATCAGCATGTCTCTATTATTTTTTTACCTTAAATCAACACGCTGGGATCCTAATAGTTATTTTTTCGATAATCTGCTTTTCTGTGGTTATGGTCATTAATTGGTTAATTAAAATTAATTTTCTTTAAGTAAAACGCTAAAAAAATTCGAATTAAATTTTTTTCTCAAAATTCCAATTCTCTCTACTCTATAAAAAATTGAAGATGTGCCTCTTGAAGACGTTCACTTTTTGAATATGGAGAGGAAATGCCTGAGTTGTACCATTATAAAAATCTCGTCCAATTTTCAACAACGAGGACACTTCTAAACACTACATACGAGAATTCGACACATTTTCTTATACATATATTCTTCATGCCAATAAAGATCCTCATCTAAAATCATTGAAAATTTTTTTTTTTTTTTTTTTTTTTTTTTTTTGGTACAAAAAGAGCTTGAAATAGAAAAGATGATATCAAAAATGATGGGTGAGTGAGAATATAAGAGAAATAATTTTACGGAAACAAATCGTGAAAGAAGAGAGAAGAAGGGAAAAGTGTGTGACCGAGAGGGAATAGTAAAGTCAAGTCAGAGAGACCTACATATACACACTCTGTGGGGGCCAATGAGACGGCGCAATGTGGCATGCCATCAGCCGTCCTTGTCCCTCTTCATGAATATATCTTTCCTTCTCCCACAACGATAGCTTCACTTGGTGTATCGGGTTCTGTGGATCCCTCAGTCGTTGCCGGCATACCGTCATCGTTGTTTGTGTTCAAAAAAAAAAAAAAAAAAAAAACCATGTCGCCTTCTCATTCAGTTTGTGCAACAAGCATTGTAACGTGGTGTTGCATTTTCATTAGTCTTTCATTAGTCAATCATGTTAATGCACTTCAAGAACTTAAAGTGGAAACAATTTACAAGCCCGAGGTATGTGATGAAAAATCACAAAATGGAAAACAGCTGACCATGCACTACACTGGAACGCTTGAAGATGGTAAAAAGTTCGATTCAAGGTCAGTTGTTTCAAAACTTTTCACTTATCACAGAAAAAGTTCTCAATTGCGAACATACAGTACAATAGATTAAAAATTGTTTCCTGTGTATTTAAAATCAAACCATGCCCCTAAAAAGCTCCAAAATTATTTCTACGAGAAAAGAAAGAAAATTAGTATCTTTATTTTAAATAAATTGGTACAAAAAAGAGAAATTGTAAATTTTTTTTATAAAGATACTTTCTTTCTGTTGTAATAAAATTACCTTCTTGAAATAGGCAACGTGTCTCTGTTTACAGTCTACGTGTCATGTTTCTGATTCGACGATTCTATGCAAATTTAAATTTTCTGAATTAACTGATTTCAAATAATAAAAATTAGTAAACCACAAAATTTTTAATACTTTCTCCTTCTTATTCCGTTAACGCTTCTTATACCAATTTCTCTCTTCAAACTTGTCCAATTTAAAGTTTCGCAAAGAGAGAAAGAGACACTTTTTTTTCACTTATACGTCACTCTTCTTGAAGTATGTCTTTACCTCATTAAAAAAAAGAAAAAATAATCTCCATTTCAAATGAAGCAAACTAATCGGATTTTCGAAATTGGACATTTATCTAGAAGCAAATTTGCAGATCAGAGTTTTTGGAATAAATTGATATTGCCATATGTTACCGAACCATATGTGAATTTTTTAAATTTAATCAAAAATACATTTGTCGAGATAAAAAAATTCCATTTGAAAAAAAATATTATTTAATTCTAAAGAAATCCGACTATATTTAAATAAATATTTCCTTGAATCAACAAACTAATTAGTTAAACCATCTAATAAAATAGTTATGCCAAAACAATAAAAATAGTAATCATATAATAAATTTTGCAGCAGTATAGTTTACTGAAAATGGTAACTAAATAATTTTTTTTTACACTGAGAAAAATATGCTATTGAATCAATAGTATTTCTGTCAAAGGTATAAAAATTATTGATTCAAAAGCATATACTATTGAATCTATAAAATATTTTACAAATTTTATAGCATATGCTTTAGAATCAATAATTTTTATACCTTTGGCAGAAATGCTGTTGATTTAATAGCATATTTTTCTCCGTATAGTTTACTTTTTCGCTCTAGGGGCTAAAATGACAGTTTTAGTCCCTAGAGATTTTTTTTTTAAATAAAAATTATTTGTTAAATATTTATTTGATAATAGTCAAGTCACGGATTATTTGAATCAAATTTTTCCGAACTCGGGAGTTTTTCTATTAATGAAAAGAAATTTAAAAAAAGAAAATTATATTTCACCGAAACCATCTTGGTTTTTGAATTATTTTCGCAATTTTTGGCGCAAATCTACACACATGTATTAAAGTAGAGAAACGTGCTTTGCAATGTAACCTTCCTCAATGAGAGAGAAAGAGAGAGAGAAAGAGAGCAGCGGTTTGAATTGGTACGTCTGCAAATTGCGATGGTTTGCGAAGTAAACTTGGTAAATTGATAGCTTTAACGTGCACGTATTTTACATGGTTACAGTTTATATGCTTAACGTTAATTTTCCTAATAGGCTCAATTCCGCGTTAATCATAAATCATTCATTATTTTTCTTTTTTTTACAAAATTATTTTTATCCTGAAAAAAATTCATCTACAGTCTTTTTTTTTTGTCGTGCACCAAAAATAAATCTTAGAAATTAAATTCATACTTTTGTTATATTTATAAATATAAAAAAATGAATACAATGAATATTCTTGATGCAATAAAGAAAAAATTTCACGAGAAATAATTTTGAAATTTTCATCTTGGAAATTTTGTATTCTTTTATGTAATGAATTTAATTCATAACTATTTGAATGTTTTAAAAAGTGATGCAATAATTTTCATTGGATCCACGTCAGCTTTCTAATAATCGTGAACGATATATAAAAGATTGTAAAGCGCGAAAGTTTTATGATTTCCTAATCGCTTTAAATTTATATATATATATATATATATATTTATCAGCAGTTGTACTTTGAAATCCTGTTTTGCAATATTGAAAAATATTTTTTAAAATGAACAATCGCGTAAGTTACGAAATTATTTTTTATTTTTCAAATATTTTTTTGTCGTTAATTTGACATAATTTCTTTTTATATGAATTTTTTATTTTATAAAATTTTAAGTTACCAAAATTTTTGAGAGAATTTTTATTTTACAGTAATTTTCTTTACATTATTTTTAATTTATAATAGAATTTTTTTTTTAACTGATATAGAAATTTTTAAGCAGTCGAATTTTAATTTGTCCAAAATTACAAATGGCCAAACAAACAATCGATTTCGGGGCAATTTTCAAAAATTGACCAATCACAATTTTTCTGATAATTTCTAATTGGTAAATTTTCAAAAACTCGCGCCAAAATTTTTCTGTCGATTCTTTTATTTGGCCATTTGATAATTTTGAACAAATAAAAATTCGGCGTCTTAAAAATTAAAATTTCAAAAATCAATAAAAAATTCGTACAAATATATATTAAAATTTCGTGAATTGGACTTTTTTTTCAAATATTCCATAAAATTAAATCAATGAAAAAGAAACAATTTTTTTTTTTGGGGGGGAAAAAATATCGATGAAACCGGTTTTTTACAATAAACCGGATCAGTATATATATTATAGTTGTACTTTAAAATTTAAATAAACAACGGAATTCGTAAGTTTCTTTTTTTTTCGATTCGAAAATTTATTTTTATTCCGTCGCATTCCATTTGAAATAAAATTGGTGGATTTATTCTAATAAATGCGGAAATTTTCATGATGCTCGATAATAAAAGAAATATTTATGAAGATGTATTTTCACAATATCTTCAAGTTAATAAAAAACAAGAATATATAAAAATTGACGAAAAAGAAAAGTATATTTTTAATATTTATAATTTTTGTCTAAAATTTCTAGAATTTTTTTTTTTTTTTTTAATTGTATTAAATTGGAAGAGATTTAATTTTACCTCAAAGCTAGTTATTGACCCTAACCTTAAATAAATTGAAGGTCACTTGTGACGAATTGGACAACTGCACGGTAAACAATTCTACCTAATTGGTTCACATCCGTTATAAGAACCGTTAATTGCAATGTCTGCAAACTCGTTGGAGAAAAAAAAAGAGTTCACTACAGAAACAAACTTCTCAATAATTTTTTCTTTGGCAAAAATTGTCTTCTCGCAGTAATCGATATACAATTAAAGAGACTGTCAGAAAAATAAGAAAAATTTCAAACTAGAAATTCTCTCAAATTTTGAAAAATAATTCTTTGATTTTTTCTAATTTATTTTTTAATATTTGAATCTAAAATCAAAAAAATGTGATTTTTTTTTCATTGCAAAATAAACTAGAAGGAAGAGAAAAAAGGCATTGCAAAAGAGAAATAGAAGTGCCATTTGTGAGGGAAAATGTTGACTCCATTTGGCAGAAGTTCTCTCTCTTTTTTTCTCTTTCTCTTTCTGGTTCAAGGGGAATTTTGTAGCGTCGAAGTTTTACATCATTGTATATCTCTCGACATAGCTGGTTGCATCCTTTCTTTACATTTCTTTTTTTTTTTTTCTTTCTTTCTTTACTAGCGAACATTCTGGCAAAACCTAGTAAAATTTTAATGCACTCCTTCCCAGATTCTTATACAACTCATGAGAAGCATATAAAGCACGTTATACACATATATAAAACATGTGCGTGCGTATTTTTGCCAAAATGTATTTTTCAGAACAAAATATAATAATTTCAACCCCGAGAGAAATAGGATTCTGATTTTATTGTTTTTGATTTTATTATTTGTACAAGTTTTTCTTGTTGAGAAACAAAATTTTTGAAAATCTGCACAGATAGAAAAAGTTTTTTTGTGCGGCAACGAACTATTTGCTGTCACAGAAAATTAAGTTAGCTAATATAGAGACAGCGAATAAATTTGCTGTGGGATCAAAAAAGATTGCTATGACAGTAAATTTTTAAAAATTAAGGTTTATCACAGCAAATTTTTTTCTTGTCATAGTAAAAAATTTAGCTGTAGTTACTAATTTTGATAGATCCGATAGCAAACATCAGTTAGCATTTGTAAGCAATTCCTTTTTTATTCGTGAAAAAATTTGTTGCTCCGACCAATCAAATTTGTTTTGTTGCAAGCTATTTTTTTTTGTTTAACAAATCTGGTTGGTCGGAGCAACAAATTTTTTCACGGACAAAAAAAGAATTGCTTACACATGCTAACTGATGTTTGCTATCGGATCTATCAAAATTAGTAGCGACTGCTAAATTTTTTGCTATGACAACAAAAAAGTTTTCTATGATAAACAATATCAGTCTTAATTTTCAAAAATTTACAAAAATTTTTTTGACCCCACAGCAAATTTGTTCGCTGTCCCTATATATTAGCTAACGTAATTTGATGCGACAGCAAATAGTTCGATGCCGCAGAAAACTTTTTCCATACGTGTTATTAGTCTAAAAAATATGGTTTTTGTTGGTGCAACAAAATTTGTTTGTTCCTACAACAGATTTGTTTTGTAGAGGCTATAAATTTATTGTTCCTACAACAGATTTTATTTGTAGATGCGACAAATTTATTGTTCCTACAACAGATTTGATTTGTAGATGCTACAAATTTATTGTTCCTACAACAAATCTGGTTTGTTGTTTTCCATCAAATATTTGTTAACCTAACAAATCTTGATTTGTTGCTACACATTTTTTTCCTTAGTCTAACAAATCTGGTTTGTGGCTGCAACGAATTTATATGTTTCTATAACAATTTAGATTTTTGCTTTGTAAGTACTACATTTTTTTTCAATGATAAAATTAAATAAAAATCGAATTTAGCGAATTATTAATTGATTAGCTTTTAATTCCGTCGGCATGATCATCCTGAGGAAGGGGGAGCATTGGCAACGTAATGGGAAATTAATTTTAAATGAAGATTCCTCCTGGTGTCGAAATTTACTATTTCGCAAATAGTGGCTCGATTAAGAATTCGAGAATATTATCGGATACTGAAATCAG